TTAAAAACTCTCTTGAGCACACGCAGGAGAGCGCCCCTTTTCAACCAGCTCTTCATTACGTGTAAGAAGAGCCTTGGAAATAATTTGCAGCGAAACTTGATATACAATCTTGCTGAATAAATTAAGCGGATCTGCAGGGATAGAGAGAAGAAGTGTCGGGCAGAAATGTTTGTTTAAATTTGCCACAGGTGTTATGATACGTGATTTACACTGACTGAAAAGGCGGAGTTTGCATATAAATTCTTCTTTTGCCAAAGTGTACAGAGTGGATAGGTGAAGCGTTGTATAATGTTATTGACTGGGCGTCGCTCGCTCATTATGCATCGATCTGCGCCCAGCTTGCCTTGTAACGAGAGAATATCATCGCGGGACAGACTAAATGTTTGCACAATGACTTGTACGCTTCACTCCCTTAACATCTTGCAGCTGCATGTCGGATGTCGGCTCCAGGCACAAGTATTTTCAAATTATTTTTTTCCTTAATATTAAAGAAGAAGAAAATTATGTTTATTGCTAAACTTTTGCGCTGAATCTAATTATTCTGAATCGGCTGTTAGCTTTTCCCCAATTTAAGAAGGAAAAGAAAGATTGCTTCCTCGAGTTTATATTAAAAGGAAACAAAAGCGTCATAACATAATGTGTGAAGATTTTTACACATTAATTTCTATCAGGCCAATCAGCTAACCCGACAGAATAACCAACTATTTCCAATTACCTGGACTGAAGCAGACTGGAGTAGAAGAATGTTTAATTCAAAATTCACGTCTGTCCACTTTACAAGTATGGAAATCACTTAAAAAAATATGCTATACATAAATTAACTAGTATTGATAATAATGCAACTTGTATTCACAATATTCCTAAGAATTCGTCTGTTTGTTTTCTTTTTCACCACTCTCTCATGAAACTTCTAGTTGGGGGCTTTGAATAAAAGATACATTATTTGTGGATCGATTCGGCTGCAAACTGCAAGATCGCTTATGCCGCGGCTAATTAACTTGCTCGTGAACCGCCTGCTGTTTTATTTATTTAATTATGTACAAGCTCTCCCGATCTCATTAATTATTGCTCCGAATCAGGAGTTGCTATTGTACAACAATACATTATATACATCTGTGACAGTGCAAATCAGGCCTGTATAGCCCCCATACCATGTTACATTATATATAATGTTGGGCGCGAACTCGTGACATGAATATTGGCTGCGTTTCCGAACGACCCCCTTGAGATCGCTTTAGATAAATGATGCGAGATTCGAGACTGGCGCGCGTCAATCTCAATGTAATTAAAGTGCCGCCGGCACCACATATTTGGCGCCAATGTTTGCGAAATCAGCACATCACTACATGATATCATGGCGGAGCAGCTTTATGGTTCGCAAGGCCTGAATTTTAAACAGCTACTGCTGCATTAAATGACAAAACATGAATAGTCTTTTCTTCAGATATACATTTCGGGCATAATATAAAGGCAAGCGTGAACTTAAATTGCAGGATGAAGCAATATAAATGAATAAAAATTAAAATAATGCTTATAATTTGGAAAATCAGAAGCTCATTAAACATAAAATAATTTATGTTTAGAGCAAAAACTCCCATTGTTAGTATCTAATTAATAAATATCACTTTTGTTTAACTAATTTAATATAATTTGTAGATAATGGTTTTTAATATCAATGAATATACAGAATACTCATTTCCTGAGATCATTGAACTAGCTGTGTATCCATGCACAACGAGTGATTAAATCTCTTAAAAATCTCTTTATCTCTTTAATCAACAGTTCGGCCCAAGTATAGAACCAATTAAATACTAACAATGACAATTATTAATTAATGACTGTGTGATGTTTGTGTTGGATCATATCATTAAATTGAAGTTCGCCTCATTAAAGTTTATGAGGATGAAATTGTTTATGCGATGCGCGACGCGGAATGTGCGACTGCTGAAGCTGGAAATGCATTTTATATGTTCATGGCACCTCCATATAGAGCGCGACGTATGCAAATATAGTGTCGCCCTCACCATACAATACTGCGTTCAAGTCGTTTAATATGATGATAAAATGCTGCAGCATACCAGACTAAAGTAGATGAAAGGAAGTAAGGAACGCTTGAAAATAATGATAAAATTCATAAAATAATTCATGGACTAATGCATTTTTGTTCTCAAATCGTCACACAGGCATCATTGAATTTCCGCTTAAAACATTCAGTAAACGTTTTTCTTCACTGAAAAATATTGTTTTCAGATTAATGCATATTGTTTTACTACTTATTTTTTTAAATTAATGCAAACTAAAAATTAAAATTATTTATATTTAAGATTACTTTAAATTTGCAATTGAAATTTACTTGCATCAACTTTAATTTTATAGCTGCTGACTGAGCATTCAGATCCAATTGTGGTTACTTTGCTGCTGCTTTCGTACATACCTAATCTCAGATCTTATCTTTCAACATCGCCTTTTATCTTGATCCGTGGATCTCTCTGCACTGCCTGCCTGGCCTGCCTGTTATTTCATCTCTTTTGCATACGCGCGCCTCTGCTGTAGCCGGAATTCCAGACCCTTTTTCTCGCTCACTGAACAAAGAACGCGTTTGCAGTTCAAATATTGACAGCTTTTTATGCAAATAAGGGGAGCTCGATTGCCCCGCATGTTATTTCGCGTCTTTGGTCTGCACGACAGCAATTGCATGTGTGTGCCCTGCAATAGTTTAAAAACTTCCTTTGATCTAACTGCGTTTGCGATTTTGAGGCAAACTTCTCATTCATGCGGGCTTCAAAACTCTTTTCAGTGATCCTTACTCAGACAAAATACAATTCAAAATCTTCAGGTCAATTTTTAAATCAAAGCTCCATTCAATTGGAACTAATTATATAATATTCAAAAGGAGCAATTTACAAAACTTTTAATTCAAAATCTTCTATAAAAATTGTAAACAGCACGTTTCTCGCCCTTAGGTTTGCGTCCAAATGGGTGGAATGGTTGATATCCGGGCTGTCCAAAACCTTGCCCTGGATTGGGATATTGCCCAGGGAAGAACCCAGCGCCCTGTCCTCCTGGACCAACAGGATAGCCTGAAATTTAATGAAGTATTATTATAAAAAGAACGAAATTTAAAAAAATATCCTACCCCCAGGACCACCTCCTAATCCCCCAGGCCCACCTAAGAATTTATTTTAGTAAAAAAAAATTATATTTTGCCGAAAATTGATCTAGACCTGGGAAACCACCAGGATGAGGGTAACCAGGACCACCTCCAGGAAACCCACCTGGACCTCCTGCATTTTTTATTTATTACGTTAGGTTTTCACAATAAAAATTAATTTTCTCAACATTCATATAGTATTGAAAAAGAATATATTAGAATCAAACATTTTAAACTAACCAGGAAATTGGCCACCAGGGCCTCCTATATTACAAAATAATTTAAAAGGTATTATTAATCTTTTATAATTTGTTTAAAATTTGCCTGGGAATGGTTGTTGAGCAAAAGGTCCTCCTTAAAATAATTATAATTTTAAATTAATAGAAATTTAAGCGAAATGCCTTTACCTGGAAAAGCACCAGGTCCATCAGGGCCAAAGCCAGGACCGCCTATATACATGCAAATATTAAAATATCAATGAATTTATTTTAATTATTTCTCGCCTGGGCCAAATGAACCTCCAGGATGAAGACCTCCATGACCTCCTTGGGGTATGAAACCTTGTTCATTTATGCCTGGAGGAAAACCCTGAGGTCCTCCAGGAAAAGGCTCCGGTCCCCCAAAGAACTGCTTGGCCTCATTGGCATCTTGCATTTTACCATTGAGTGCCTCATCCCGCATAACTGGATGCGCCTTTTTGCTCACCGGCGTTGCTGGCAGTGCGCAGACCGAGTAGGAAAATGTTCCTATAACCTATTGAGCATTTAAAATAAATTCAAAATGTAAATTAAAAAATTGAGTAAATTTACCAGGAATGTGAACGCAATTGAAGTCATGTTGGATGTGTCCACGACCGCAACTACTCGTTGGCTTTTATAATTTTGTAAGAAAATAAGAGGTCGGGAAACCACGTCAGCTTTTTGAAGGCAATTTGCGTGTTAAAAACGTTATCAAAAGGCTGACCCCTTTTTCCAAGACGCACATTAAAGTTGAGAAGTGTCACTTGGACGCAAAGTACAAAAAAAAATTAATTTTCGGGTCAGTGACTTTTCCGGCCTTGTAATTAACTGAGGGTGATAAGAAAACCACAGACACTTTCCATAAATTTCCACAGAAACTTTGAATGTTGAATGCAAATGTTAGGAAAATAAAAATAAGGAATTTTTAATTAGTATCAAAAGTGCTGAATTGGAAAATTTTGGAAAATTTATCCCTAAATAAAAAATTAAAAAACGAACAAGATAATAATTCCAATATTGAAGCTACGAAGTGGCAGATAATAAGTAGTTATTCTCTTCAATTTTGACGCTTTTATTAAAAGAGCCTGGTGATTGAGTTTTTTAGTATATAAAAAAAAATAGTAAATAATTTGTAATAATCGTTAAAAATTAAAACATACTAGCACAAATTTTTGATGAGGTTTCTAGTTTGTTAATAAATTAAATTTTAAAAATGCGTTTACAAATTTACAAGGTAAATATAATTTAAAGAGAAGAAGTACAGTACAAGCACCCTCAAAATATTTAATATTAGTAGGTATTTAATCAATTATTCCAATTTCCTCTTTTGATCATAATTCCGGAAAATGGTATTAAATGTAAACCAGTACGTCCAGTGTCCAGTATAGGATGGAATTAGTTTTAAATTTAGCTCTATATATTTACAATTATGTGACTCTTTTTTTGCATAAAATAGCGTAAAATAGGTTTAATGCTATAATATTTCACACGGCAGTCACGGCACACAGGTACAGCGGCAAAGTTTAAATGTGGAATCGGCATGGCCGCCTCATCCGCCAATCAACGCTCAGCGCGTCCAACGCCCTCCAACGTCATTTTTCTTTTGATGATTGTCGATCGTCGTTTGTTTTCTCTCGTGATTGTGCTGTTGAATGGTCGGCGAAACAAACAATTTTTATTAAATTTGTCTCATCAAATAATATTTTTGTGTAAAATACTACACAAAATTTCATTCTTTTATCATTAGATAATATTTTAAGAGTAAGTAGTATCGTATTTTCCATTTATTTATTAAAAAGTTTGATTTGTAAACAAACTCCTGCAGCAAGGTTAAAGCGGTTAAAGCCATCCATTTGCTCCTCGTTTGACCTATTTGAGCTGTTTTTGTCGCAATTATCGTTCTCCTGCCCGCCTATTTTCTAATTTTACCCGTTTTGCAGCTTCAAAATGTCATTGAGCTCCAAAGATATTGACAATCTTCGTCCGAAAGTTGACAAATTGGTCGTCAGGTACCACGGCCAGTCGGACTTGACGATCTGCAATGTGGCCATGAGTTGCCTTTCGGCTGGTTATGACAAAAGGAAAACTTGTGGTAAGTTCCTGTTTTAATGAATGCGTTTTTAATATTATTGATTAAATCTCAGAGTCTTTCTTGGATTAATCCATTTTGATTCTAAACTATTTACTTCATATTATCATATTGCATCTCATGATAATTATTTAAATCAATTTTCAGAAAAACTGTCAGGTGTGTTGGACAGCAAAAAAGCTGAACGCATGACTGAGAGGTTGATGGAGTTGGGCGCTGTGGTCAAAAGTTCCTTGAAAAGCTCCTCCAGGAAGAGAGCTCTGGCGGAGAATGACGACCGCGAGTCAAAGAAGTCCAAGGCCAAGGAAGCTATGGTAGGTGTCTCGGCCAAACACATGTTTCAAACATCAAGCTACTAATGATTTTCTGTGCTTTAATAGAGCTATTTTCATAGGACAACGGCAACGAAGGCGGAGACAGCGTTTCCAAAGCCATGGCTGCAGCAGCTGCGATGGCCAGCAGCAAACAACCCTCAGGAGGCCCAGGCATGGTCATACCCATGCAACTCGGAGTTGCGCCTGCTGTACTTGGAGGAAATTCAAATTTGAGTTCGAAAGATGTAATTAAATGATAATTAGGATGAATTTATTTCTTCAAAATTAACTCGACTGGTTCTTTCAGATTGAAGCAATGATGAACAATGCTAAAAAGGTCATCGAAGAACGAAAGAAAGCCTTGACCGCCTTAAGAACTGACAACACAAAGCCCAAATTTGGTATCATGGATCCTCAAATGATTGTAGAAGCGGAAAAGGCTCGCAGAATTGCCCAACTGCAAGCCCAAATTCAGGAGAAAATCAATGCAGTGAACATCACTGCTGCCGTTGCTGCTGCTACGGCCCATGTGAGGGAGGTCACTGCAAAGCCAAAACCCCTGATTTTGGATGCGGAAGGCAGAACGGTCGACATGGAGGGCAAAGAAATCCAGCTGACACAGAGAATGCCAACTCTGAAGGTATATTTTTTGGTCTTCGCTTACAATAAATAACAAAATATTTATAAAATAGGCTAACATCCGAGCCAAAAAGAGAGAGGAGTTCAAGCAACAGCTGCAGGACAAAGGCTCAGAAGATGTGACTGAGCAGACCTTCTACGATCCTCGAATTGCAGCCAAGACTTCTATTCGTAACAAGAGAGCTCTCAAATTCAACGAGCCGGGAAAATATGTAGCATTGGCAGACAGAATGAGAACAAAAGTAAGTAATTTTTTATTTTGTAAAAGGAGATGATCTAAAACTTACAAATTTAAAAACAGGCTCAGTTGGAGAAGCTTCAGAGCGAAATCTCGCAGATTGCCAGAAAAACCGGCATCACTACAACCACCAAGCTGGCCTTAATTACTCCGACGGACTCAAGAGATGACGAAGTCCCTGAGGTAGAGTGGTGGGACTCAATCATCTTGGCAGGGGACAAGTACGTAAAAATCAAATCTAGCAGTTTTTTTAACCGTTTTTAATTTTTATCAATAGTAGTCGGTTAATGAGATATTTTCTAAAACTGAATACTTATGTTTCAGGTACGCCTTTAAGTCAGACGGCAAGGTGATTTTCCAAGGTGGCGCTGTCACCAACCTGGTGGAGCATCCAACCCAAATGCGAGCCCCAACGGACCCTCTGCGTCCCATTTACATGCCTGTCTTTCTGACCAAGAAGGAACGCAAGAAAATACGCAGGCAAAATCGTCGTGAAGCTTGGAAGGAAGAGCAGGAGAAGATTCGTCTTGGGCTCGAACCAGCTCCGGAGCCAAAACTCCGCATCACCAACCTAATGAGAGTTCTCGGCACTGAGGCCGTTCAGGACCCAACCAAGATCGAAGCCCACGTGCGAGAGCAAATGGCCAAGAGACAGAAGGCGCACGAGGATGCCAATGCTGCCAGGAAGCTGACACCGGAGGAGAGGCGTTCGAAAAAGATCAAGAAAATGAAGGAAGACACCACTCTAGGCGTCCAAGTTGCTGTTTTCCGGTTAGTCTTCATTACCACGTTGTTTCATCATTTAATCATTTGCAATGTTGAATTTTTCAGTGTCACTGATCTGAGCAATCAGTCAAAGAAGTTTAAAGTGGAAACGAATGCAAAGCAACTTTTCATGACTGGCACGGTTGCGCTCTTCCGAGATTGCAATGTTATTGTGATGGAAGGCGGACCTAAGCAGATGAAAAAATACAAACGGTATATTATAACTTTAATTTAAAATCTTTCTTTAATTAATATTTTTGTCACTTCAGATTGATGCTGCACCGCATTAAATGGGAGGAGGATCTGGTGAAAGATAGTGATGGCAATGAGGTCCCTAATAGGTGTGTCCTAGTGTGGGAGGTAAGTCACTTTTTTTAAATATTAATTTTATTCTTCAAAATTTTTATTGCAATTTATTTAGTAAAAAATTTAAAAAGATTGTTAAAGTTGAAATTAATTTCTAGGGCTCTGAAAAAAGTAGGAGCTTTTCCGGGGATGTGAAATTCAAGTTGTGTCCAACTGAGCGTGCGGCTAGGGAGCTTTTCAAGAAACACAAGGTGGAGCACCACTGGGATTTGGCTTACAGTGGTGCTGTTTTGGAGACAGCACAGGATAATGCCTGATGTTCTAAATTTCAGTTGTCTTGTATTTCTTTATTACATGCCTTACCAGCAGCTGTGTGTAAAAGATTGGTTTATCAATAAATTTCAGTTCTGCGTAAATTAGATCAAATGTAGATAATTTTTAACACATGGCCAATCTGAGATGGCGTCCCTACCGTCTATTGTATGTATTAAATGGGATGAAGTGGAGGGGATAGTGATTACTTTTTCACAAAAGCCAACAACATACAATAATTGTTGTTAAACTTGGAAAATATTTGTAGTAAGGTAAAAAATATAAAATAAAAATAGTTAATAATTATCAACACTTCGTTCAGTGTTTATTGTTTAAGAGCTTCATAGAATATTTTTACAAATACACAACATTTACTGGAGATTGGTTCGAGCAGGATGGAGTTCACAACATGTGCCTTTTCAAACATATTTTAGAGCTTTAGTTAAATTATTTTCAACCCAAAAAAGCATCCATTATTGCACAGAAGCAATACATAACAATATTCCGTGCTACAATCAGTTAACCAACGGTGATGTAATTACTCCAAACAAGACAGCAAAGGCAACTTGATTACGACAATATTTTATAATTTACATCTGAGACCGTGGACCAAAATGATTATCTCATGAAAGCAGCAATCAAAAAATTATATCGCAATGCCAAAAGCTGAGAAGAGAAAATTAGGAGTATACTTTTTCATGTAATATTTAAAACTCGCATAAGAAGGTCAGTCATATTTTTATTCTCTGCATTAAAATGCTCTTATATTTTTGGAATCTCAGTATTTTTATAGTATCTTCAAAGAAATATTTCCTTTCTATTTAAAATATTTTTCAGGTTTGCTTGTTTTTAAACTTTTAATTAACAAGTTTACCTATCTGTTGTTAATAAGTCAGACCCGTTAGTATATCTCGCTAAAATTGCTGCGTCGTCAAGACTCTACCTGGACTCTACCTTTATTGATTAAAAAAAAAAAATGACCGGTAGAGTTGAGCTATGATGAACAAATTTAGTTATATAAATTTTAAGTTTGTTATTTTTTTTTTTAAATTAGCAAAGAGTATTTTATCACATTTTATAATATAATATATATGATTTCTCAATTACAAAGCAAATTAATTTTTTTCGTTGTCTCACACTCAAACACATATATTTAGGAGACCTGTATCAATCATGATATGGTGGAGATATTAATTTCATTCGTGTGCAGCGAAATATACATAAATAGCTTATTAATAAAGTTAGAGTAATTTAAGGCCTTCTTTTCATAATAGCAGTTTGAAGACATTCAAAGAGTATTTTACAATATCAACAATAAATTTAAGGTTAAAGAGACACTAATCTTTGGGAGGACTGGAGGGCAGTGTGTCAAATAAAAAATTTAATCGATCCTGCATGACAACTATACTGGCCGGCTCTTAACTCTTTTTCTACAAATCATAAAAAAAATCTGCAATACATCGGAGAGCTTTAAAACACACAGCAGCGCACGATTGTTTTAAAAAATGTTGAGCTTTTTTAAAGGCCAAAACGTAAACCGTGACGGCCAAAGCAAAACACATATTATGTTTAGAGTTGGAGATTCAAAAGTTTAAAGACTCTGCCAAAAAAGTGTTTTAGTTTTGGCACACACAAAATCGCGCCAAGGCCAAAAGTTCTAAAAAATTCCCTGGAAATACAAGCAATAGCTAGGCCCCCGAATAAATTACGCACAGTCGAGCGACGGCGATCATTGCAACCCTGAGATCACGCGCTCTCAGCCAAGGCGGTCAAGTCGGCGCTATGTCAGTTGCTGCCCGCGGGCAGAGGGTCCAGGACCGCGTCCTCAAGCGTGTGCAGCCAATTGAAGATCATCACGTTCCTCTCGTATTTGCTGAGGGGTTTGCCTTTTTCCTTCTCGATGTCGCGGATGGTGAGGGGTAGGTTGCGGCTGCGTCTGCGACCAGGGTCTGCTGCTCCTGGTACGCGCAACAACGATCCTGAAGAGGTCTGCGGTGGACTGTCCATGTCGGAACTCATTCTTTCGAGGGCGCGACACGTCGCCAGGAGACGGCGGTGCAAGTAGTGACTGTAAATGGGGATAGTTATTATCGAATTTGGGATGTTTCTCATCAATTTTATTTTAATAATATCTAAATAAATTTATTCTCATTTTATCCCTCTTATATTACAAATTTGCCTCTCTGTATGTGTAATGAGAATGATGATAAAATTGGTAATTACCATTTTATTAATTTTTTTTTAAAATAATACGGAGTAAGAGAGCTTGGAAAATCAATATTAATAAGGCACGCCCTAAAAAGTCGGGCACCATAGCCTAACAAAGAGAAAGAGGGTCGCTAGTTGTGTAAACGCCTGCGAAAGCGAGAACGCAACAGCGTTGACAGCCGTGTCATCCCGGTTGCCTATACAAAGCTTCTGCATGAACAACGTTCCTTTCTTTTGTTGTTTATAAATTTACTTTATTCCGAACGAATTACATGCACATTGAATGTGTAAATAGAAGCTTTGCTCCAATTTTCCAAATGAAAAAAAGACAAATATATTAGTTAGTTTCGGAAGGTGTTTAAATTTATTAATTAAAAGTTCCCCAGCGCGCAAAAATAGTGCAACTTTTAAAAAAAGGTAATAAAAGATTATAATTATATTTTAATTTAATTTTTTAGAATAAAATATATCAATAATATCAATATGCCTAAATTTGTTGATTTTTGCTCAAATAAATATACCTGCGGACGCGTTTATTGACACTTCTGACGAGGTCTGCGGGTGTAAAAGGCTGTGCACCGTGTGAGTGTGGACTAGGCAGGTTACTGTGTGGCTCGCCGATGGCCACCCAGGTGGAGCACGAGCGCGAAACGTTTTGCAGGCGGGCGTTGGACGCGTTGGCCATCTCGAGGTGCCGTTGGCAGCACAAGACCAGCTCGGAAACTGCATTCCGAGGACGCAAATTACCGGCGGCGCCATCGGCGTCGCTCAGCTCGCTGGCGCTGAAACTGCGTCGCAAGCCCAGGGCGGCCGACAACTGGGCGCACGTCCGCAAAAGGTCGGCATCCTCTTCAAAGGGCGGCGGCTCCCTGATGAGCACAGGGTTTGGACTTGGTCCCCGAGGACGTTTCAGGTCAGTGGAGCTGACTGAGAAGACTGAGAGGCTCGTGTTAATCGACTCGTGGCTCGGCGAGCGCAGCAACGGCAGCGGCGATTTGCTTTCCAGCTTGGACATTTTTTGCGGCCGGCCGTCGAACAGCCTCGATTCCCTTCGAGGCGCTAATCAGGTGTCCGCAAATCGTTTCGGCCCAGCGGTTTTCTTTCCACCGAAAAGCAGTGGACTAGTTCGTGGAAAATCACAGGCCAATCGGTTTTTGCCTTCCTACTTACCGGTGGTTCCGACCAGTTCTAGATAATATAAAGAGTGGCGGCGCCGATCAATAAATTGTAAGGTGCGCGCTGGAGCAGCAGCTGCGCACGCCTGAGAACAGCAGACCATTGGGGTAGGTCGCGACCGGGGGTGGATGAATGAATGTCTCTCACGCACGCACCTCACTCTGAGCTGGCAAACTTTGTTTTAATCGTTACTAGTCTCTCAGGGATGCTTATTTACCTTTAAATAAATTATTAGTTCTCATTATAGGGCTCCTCGTTTAACGTTACTAAATGAAGAGAAATTTCATCTTGTACCAATTCTGCTTTCTTTATATCGACTGCTACTCATTTTAAGTCTAGTATTAAATAAATCCGTTTATAAAGTTTGCATAAAAGGAATACTTTTCCCTTTTTTCAAGTAAAGCTCCTGTCTCTTATTTTATTTAACCTAAAAATTTTAAGCAACAAAATATAAATAATAAATAAATAATAAAAGTTTGGTTCCCATATATTTTTATTGTCGGTAATAATTATTATATTGTTAAAGAGTGGCATGCAGCTGTAAAAGTTCCTCAGCCGTTTACCAAGATCCCTTTGCTCAGCATTACGAGAGATTGAAATAATGAGGAAGATAATTGAATAAGCACATTTTCTTAAGAAAAATTCTTTATTGTCAACTACAAAAATATTTCGATAGCTTCAGCTAATTCATTTATTTTTAGTCATATAAAGCACTATCATATACTCTAATATTTACACACAATATCATTATTTACAGAAACACGTCATTTCTCTCATTGCCAACGTATTTAAGAAGTGGGGAAAACCCACGCAATGAAAATCGTCAGGATGAGATAATTCGTATTTTTCATTTGTCTGCCGTTCATAAATGCAAAATTTAATATTCATTCCTGTTGTGTCAGTTTTTGCTGCTGGCGATCATGATCCTCATTTACCAACTTTTGCAGTCGTGAAAAATTAAAATTGCCTCACTGTCTTTTCATTTGTTTTGTACATCCTGATCGCCAACATCTTTTGTGTATGCTCAGCATATACTTGTATAATTTATCGCTGGGAAAACAACCTCAAATTAAGTAGACGATGCATGCGAGTAATTGTACCTTCGTGCGGTTTAATAATGGGAGCGATGAATGAAGTTAATACAACCAGGCGCAACCAGGATATCAGCAAATTTAGCCCCTAGTAAACTATGAATTTACGTTTGTTTTCGTTTGTTTGGCAAGATATACGTTCGGAGGCAAAAGGCGCGTATTTTTCTCTGCATATTTGCAACATTTTGTATTACCAGGCCATTAGTTTTAGTTTAAATCTCTGGTGGGGTTTCACTTACTTGTAACTACCGAGTTGCTTCCTCGCGGCAGCAACAAATAAAATGGTCCGGGAATAGAACTTGTTGTAAAATGCTCATTACAGGGAATAAACTAATAGTGGTGGGTCATAAAATTTTAAACTCATTTTGCAATACGCTTTGCAAGACAAAGCATTTTGTATTTTGAACTATCGTTAACACTAAAATTATATTGCTCAGATTAACTTGCCAAGTTTATTTTTATTTGCAATTAAAAAAATGCTGCGCGTCTTTTCCTACGAAAGCAAATCTTTTTATGGCCTTTAAAAAAAACTCGACTCTCAAACGCATTTTCAACCAAGCAATCAATCAGCAGCACAAAGAGTCTTCGGATCACTGTAAGAATTGTTGTCGCTCTCAACTGAGCGCAAGCAGCGGCTCCTGGTACATGTAGTCTTTGGGAGATTGCTGGAATTTGAGTTTCTTCCACTCCACTTTGGAGGCCTCCTTCTGCTGGTACTTGGTCAGCTTGTTCTTGGATTTGCTCACCTTCTTGGGCGGCTTCTGCTCCAACTGCTGCAATTGCTCAAAGATGTTCCTGGGTGCACCTCCGGCAGGCACATCTGCAAGGGTGCCGTTCTTGTTAGCGTAGACGACGTGGAGCTCCGAAAAGGCGCCCTGCTTGGGTGCCGTGATATCCGCAAAGTCGCGGAAGTTTGCGAAGAAGTCGTCACCATTCGAGGCGGCACCGTGGCTCGGACGGTAGTTGTAACTGTAAGAGGGACGTCCGCCACCGTAGTAGAAAAAGTCGTCGTTGCTGCTTCCGGAATCGTAGTCGTCCTCGTAGAAAGTGCCTCCTTTGATGACCCCAAAGTTGCCCGAGCCGAGGACACTGTGGTCAGTGGTCGGCTGCTCTTTGGAAGTCGCTTTGTCCTTGTTGGTGGAGGCGAATGCATCGAAGGAGTTGGCCTGTTGCAGTGCATAGGGGATGTGTCTGGGCCGGTGGTTGGTAGGGGGGTCATCGTAAACCGGGGGGCGCGAGTGCCCAAGGGGGTTGTTGGAGAAGATCGAAGAGAAGGAAGGGAAGTAGTGTTGGCTGTCCGGGATCAGCTCGGGGACCGCATGGGGATCGGCCACCGCCTGACGGGGCTGCCCATGACCCAGGGGCAGGGCAAATGAGGGGTACACGTGCTGGCTGTCAGCTATCGGCTCCACTGGTGCTTCTGAGTCGAATTTACGCGCGTCTGTGAACAAAATTGAAAATTAATTGAAGTAAAATTCATACGATTATTTATTAAACAGAAAGGCTTCCTTGAAATTTCTCATCAAATTTTTACAAACCCTCGTTCTTTGAAATTTCTCTTCAGACAGCAATATCATTTTTCTTGGTAAAATAAAATTTTACTTTTCCTTAATTAGTTTATGATAATGTTATGCTGAATACATAAAACGCAAAACACTAACTGCAGGCTATTTCTTTCTCTACAATTTCAGGAATCCGTAACTTTCACAGATTGAAGCTGAATGAATTATTATTATTGATGAATACATAATAGCCGAAAGTAAATTTATTCCGTCAGTATTGTGGGCGCCTCTTTTGACACAAAACGTCTGTCCCAAATTAAAATGTCAGTTGCAAAATAAAAAACAAAGCATTAGGTTTTGTTTTGCGGTCGCAAAAATCGGCCAATCGATTTTGTTTTTTATAAATTGTTCTATTCCATTCAAGTGCATCGAATCTTTAGAGACAATGAAAACGCGATTTGCAATCAATCCGCCCGTCACGTGTAATTTGCGGTCAGACGTTTTCTTTTCCCGCGTGTAAAAATATAATGCTATGGCTCAAACGCGAATCACGCGCGTCTCCTGCCTGAAATATTTGGGTTAAATCTGCCGCAAATTTCCACTGCGTTACTAAAATATTCAGAAGGAGGGCCGAGATTTCAAAGTTTTATGGCAATGGTAGTGAGCGCAGTCACGTCGACGAAAAGTACATTTCACGCGAAGAATAAAGTTGCGTCAGTGCACATCAGCATCATCATGATCAGCCGTATAATTATTTGTTATACAAGCAGCGACTAGGAAATGGCAACAAACGCGATTTAGGGCCAAAACTCGTGCACTTCCCTGATGCCTGCCGAAAATTGCTCGCGCTACTCTGAAACGCACGTCCCGGAGGGATTGCCTTGGCGTGTCCTGTGCTTATTGAGCTAAAGAAAGAAAGCTGCTAATAAATAGAGAGAGGGAGAGAGGGTCCTGTCCCTCTCCAGGTATTAATAACAGCCAGCACCCGAGGGGTTTGTTATTTTTTTAGCTAATTGCCAACAGTCTCGCGTCCGGCGTCGTCGTCAGATTTCACTCAAACAGTAGCGCCGGCAAATTTAATTCATCCTTATTGAATGCGGCTGCCTCTTTTCTTGCAAGGCACAAACACACGCATGCTAATTATTTAGAACAAGAAGTCAAAAGACCAGCTTTCCCTGTAATTGTCTTCCTCTATTTATATTTGTTGCTTTTCTCCATATGCATCTCATACAAAGCAAATTAGTGTCAGAAACTGATTGGTCAAACAATGACTGCGTTTTTTTCTGAGAGGAAAACTGCGTATTCCTCTCATTGCTATACAGAAATTCAAAGGAGGTCAACGTTTGCTTGGTATTTCTTGAAAAATTTCTCCTCATTACGACTTGTCTTGCAAAAAAGATGACTTATGGTGTTTGAGTCTAGAGGAATGCAAAGTTTATTTAATATTGTTGAAGGGGAAATATGGAACTGTCAGACTATGTCATCCAGATTTTCATCACTCATTGTCAGCATCAGTATACTTGCAAAATTAAAATGCTTTTTTCAGGAAAATACCAACTGTCATTAAAAATTATATGCAACGAGAGCATTGCAAAATATTAACGCATTCCATTTTTTCTTTTATAAAAATTTAATACTTTGATATAATTATTTTAATCAATTATTCTAAATTGTTAATAATTAAATAATTTTCATGCTGTTTAGTACCTTAACTGTTGTTTCTGTAAATTATTTTTAGCAATGTAAGACAGGGGGCTATTTTTTTAAGTCAGAGCGCCTTCACCACGTAATCAAGTTCAAAAATAGTACCTCTCACAATGCCTCAATTAAATGCCAAATTACATATCGAACCACAATTATTTGCGCATTAATTTTCTTCATATCACCGCCGTCAATCAATTGCAGAAAGAAAAATAATCATACAAATGACCTTGTGCCTGATTCATGTCCAAAATTGCATGTCAAAAATTTCTCACACTTGACCGATTGCTTGTGCTTATTGTTATAGAAAGGGCTTTTGCTTTGAATGCACTTGTGCCAAATTAATGCCAAGCCGCAGCAATACGTGCATGGCCTGAAACTTTTACTCGCATTATTATCTTCTCTATTGGCGCAGATCAAATAATGAAAAAGTCTTAACAGATAATTTAATTCAGCGGCACCATTATTGTGCAATTAAACTCACGCCTCAACAAAGATATTCACCAGCGGCCAGTAGAGAATTTCTTCGAACACGTTATTATTCGTGCGATCTTGTGTTTCATAATAATTATTTCGGCTGGCACGTCAATTAAGTTTTGTGTTTGCTTTAGATCGTTCGTTGACAAAGAGTTCTTAAACGGCCTTTTGAAACGCTATCTGCCCAAATCGGGTCAAATGAAAGACAAATATATGTGCGGGAACATTACCGCTTTGGTTCAATGTGTGCATTGTCGAAAAGCTGAGTCACTATGTGTAACCATTAGGAGAGGAACGGGGAGATGAAGATCAATGGACAATTCGCAGCTGGTTAACGGCCAATGTGTTTACATGACAAGATGTTGAAATGGCCTCACATTAACACATATATAATGCGTTTTTAAACGTCTTGTTTGAGATGAGATCTGTGCGATATTTTTTGTGCGCAAATTTCATATTTTTCGCAAGTAATTTTTTCCTACACGTTTTACTTTTAGCAAAACCCCCACAATCTTCCTTTGGAGTGAGTGAAGTGGGTGGACAGCCGTACACGTTGGATCGTCCCTAATTAATAGTTTAAGCAATTCAAACATCTTCTAGGCTTTTGTTCGCCGACTAAATTGGGTTAATAGCCATTTGGCGAGGGAAGACGTCTTTCGCATCTATAATTAAGCAACCTTTCTTGATCGCGTCTGCATTGAACTCCATTTATGGAATCGCGTGCTTTTACAATAATTTTCATTTTGATCACGTACGATTTGACTACCTTTTGTTACAAGGATTGAAGCATCGCCACAGCAATAAAATGCAGTTTTGCTCATAAGAAATATTTCATTTTCGGCATAATAAATTTTACAACAATAACCACACAGACATAAAAATTTTATTTTTATGACAAAGTTAAAAATAAATATAAAATCACGTAGATAAATAAAGGGAGATGTAGCCAGCTTACGAAATGACGTTACAAACTTCTTAACTAACATGAGCAGTCTGTGGTATTGATCGCAGCTCAAACATTAAATTTTGCAGGTCTGGGCTTTTCAAATAATAATTAACATTGTGTTGATTTTTTTCAGAGTGAGCTAGTTTTTTATTTATGCACACCAAGATTAAATAATCTAATCTTAATTTAAGCACTCGATTTATAATATTCTCATATAAAGAGCATCGGTCGCAAAATTATGTTGAGCGAACAATCAGCACTTTGTTGCTCACTCACCGGCACATCCTCTTGTAAAGTTACAGACTTACTTTACAAAAACAGCACATAAATTATTAAATTCATACACACTCTAAATTGAGAGTCTTAAAGATACAGTTTTATCAAGCCTTATCCGAGCAGGATTATAAATTCAAGTTCGCTGCTCATCTCCTCATGAAAATTCAGCGTGGTATTGTTTTCATGTCCAGTATCTCGTGCTTCAAGTGTTTGTTTTGCTTTTTCAGCGACCCGTATTCGTTACATAAGCCATCATGCGCATCCTCGACTCTATTTGATTTTAATTAATCGTGAGCGAAAAGGCGTGGATGGATCGCTTCTTTTATTAAAGTCACGTGTGAGTTGACGTCAGATGGGCCAGTGAAAGTGCAAGTAGACGAGCGTTCTTGGCTCGCTCTTGTACTTTCTCTGTCCGCCGTGCTGCGTCCCTCCTTCTCGGGAAACAATGAGGCAGAGTCATCCGCAACCCATTCGCAAGCGGAGCAACAAACAAACGTAGTCCGCCCTTTTGATTTTTACAAGATGCTTTCGAAACAATTGGCGTAAATTACGTTATATGCAAATCCTTCGTGTGTTATTTTCAATTAATTTTTTTTTCAAAAGGTACAAGAATAATCAAATAAAAATAAAATTTGATTTATTGAGACATCAATGTCACTACAGACTTTCAAACAATAAATTCCTTTGGAGACTTTTCAAGATCAACTCCCTAGTTGTACAATCGATGTCAGAGCAGGGAAATTGCCAGGTTGTTGCAAGTTTTAATTATTTTTATAATATATATTTTAAATCGACCATATATCACCTCTGTGCTCCCGTCAACTGACTGTAGTTATCACGTCATTAACTCTCTTTCCTGGAATGTTTGGTTACGAAACTGAAAAACAGCTTGTTCTCGTCATCACTCTCTTTGTCTATGGAGCAAAGATCACATTCCTCGGAGCGCACCATTAAAATGAGCGATTCGTCTCTTTTGCATGCTGTGCGCTTTCATAATTCACGCCGCGACTGCCGCATCAATATAAAGAAGTCCGCGCCCTTCTATATCGAATCAGCAATCCTTTTATTGCAGCGGTAGGGCGAACAGAGAAATATTGTTCCGGGTGAGATCATCAAACACTTTTGTATGGCAGCTGCAAATTTAATAATATAGCTTTCGCAACTAACACAGATCGGTTTAGAAAAGACATAATAGTTAGGATTGTAAAGTGACAAAAACGTTTATAATTGTTATGAATTGTGAAACGCCAAACTTTCTACGCCAAATTTACTCCTGTGTGCTTGCCACTTTATGTAAATTCATCAAGTATAATCAATTGAAAGTTGTAGTAGAGATTTAATAATTTAATTTATGATGGAAAAAACAATTTAATGAACCAATTAAAGGATGGGGATTATTTTATAATTTGATTGAAGCAAAAGCGCTCTTGCAATATTATAAATTATCTTGACAATCTTTTTTTATTCAGCATGAATTTAAATTTATTTCCACTTACTCAGTCAGTGTCAAAATCACTTACTCGGTGTCACAGCTAGGAGTGTTTCACATTTTCAAGTGCATCTTGTACATACAAGTCCAGTTTTTAATGCATGCCAAAAGTGCTCTCGTTTTGTACCAGCGTGTGTGATCGAGACTACAGATTTAATCAAACCGACACCCACGTCAAGAAAGTGGCAGGAAACTTGACTTATAACCCAGCAACAGTCATTGCACGACCGGTCGATCAAGTACACGTGAAGTGCAGCAGGTGCAGTACATATAACAAGATCAAAATTGATCGTGTCTGGGTCTGAAAGGGCGCGAGAGTCGTGAAATGCTTCCTATATATTTGTATTTGAATATCGTGTCCGGGATTTGATTAGCTATTGTCGATCAGAGAGTGAAATGATGATGTATGATGTATTATCAAGGCGCAATAAAAAGGCGGGGGAGTTTGATGAAAGTGCAGAATAAGTGCACGAATAATAACCGCAGAGAAAGGTGAGAGTTTGTTGAACTGTGTACAAAAAAACCAATCTTATTAAAATTGCTGGATGTTTAATTATCTGCAGCGTTAAAATTTTAATCTCATTTTCACTACTCATGGGAGTTGTGTGGTCACAAGCCCATAAGGAATTGTTTATTTTATGATAATGATTTCATAATTGTGTTATAAATTACAGTGTATTACGCTAACAATTTGCTAAACGAAGCAATATTACAACTACTCCCAAACACCTATACTAACAAATTACATCATTAATTTATGCTCAAAAGATTTTATTTGTCATCGTTTATAGTGCACCTTGTTATTACTACTACTTTATTTTATTTTACGACCACTTGCATTTTATTTATTTGACGGATGCAATTTTAGCAATTAAACCCCTCTGACACCCATATCTCATACTCTCTCTGCAAAGTCCTTGTCCTTGTACAAAATGAAGTTATTCATTGGCTCCCACAGCGCACATTACGACTTCAGTGTGTGAAATTGTCATTTTTGCAAGAGAACGCAAGGTGCAATCTTCATTATTTAATGTGGGAGCGCGTAAAATTGTGTCGTATGTGAGCAATAAAAGTTCATGACTGTGTCAATGATTAATTTACTTCTGACACGCGGTTTCCATAGTAAGTAATTTTCAGTGTGAATATGTCATTATGTAATTAACGGCACTCTTTCACTTACGCGTTTTAGCACCGACAAAAATTTAAAGCCTACCGATTCCTTTTCAATCTCAGATTTCCCCACGCATACCAGGAATTTTTTTCATGTGCGCAAAAGTGCCATTAGTCTATTCGAATAGAGAGCTTCCGGTTGAAAAGCAGTGTTTTTACCTGCTCTCGTCGTGATAAAAGTTCTTGGTAAAGTGACGCTCACGCCATCGAATGTAGTACCTTTGATTAAAAGAAACACGCGCAGTTGAAACCGGAGCAATTAACGACAAGACAAGTGTTCGCCGGACGACAGCATTTTTGCGGCAAGATTTTCTTTAAAAATGAGAAGGCGACTGCTTTTACTTTGATAACTCTTTAGGGCAGAGCTGCGGGAAACAAGTTTGAAGAAAGAGAGAGATGATCTGACGAGTGAAATTTATTCTCGTATCCCCTTTTTTTATATGCAGCGATTTTATTGAGTATTAAGTGCTCACTCCGCGCTCAGTAGCCGACTGGCCTCAAACTGCAGATCTCCTTCGTAATTACAACTGTATGTTTTGCTGCTACTATAAACTTCGATAAACTTTATTGCTCTTGATTGAGTGGCGTGGTCGTTAAGAAAAGATAAAAGCAGACAGGAGAGAAATTTCCAATGGGAAGAATCACTTTCCTGCTAATTTGCACTCTTGTTATGTCGGGAGGCAAACAATGACTTTTTTAATTAATAAAAATATGAAATAGTATTCTCTAAATTGGTTCACAATTAATCGCATTCCATTTTGAGTAAAAACTTTCCTAGTTCTGCTCTAGTAATAATAAATTCTAGTTTGTTTCTCTAGATCAATTTTATCTCCAATCAAGATTCGTAAGAATTTCTCCAAAACCTGCGGAATTTATCTTCTTGGCTTTGAGCTGACGTGACCCCTGCTCAAGAAGGAAGAAAGGTCATCAAAGGCACGCGGGCCGTCCGGCATTTTTCGTCGAGCTTTAACCCATGATTAAAGCTGCCGGAGAAAGTGTTCTCGCGCGGCTGTCGAGTGCTTTGACTCCGTCTGAGGAGCACATCTGAGGGCCTTTTTATTTACCTTTCTCCGCGCAAGGTCACTAGGTTTATAGAGCGAACCTGATCTGACTCAAACGCTGCAGCAACTTGCATTCGCAGCACGCGTCGTTAACTCGCATAATCTTATAATTAGTTTTATTGATTGATGTGTGCGTTATCGATCGAAAATTGCAACAAGTCAATTAAGATGTAAATTACAAATTGTGGAATGGAATTTAAATAAGTAAAGAGTTACGATAGTTAAAGAGACTATGATATTTTATTTAGAAGAAAAACATATCAAGAATTATATCGTTTAACAAACCAGATGCAGATTGTAATTTAACAATTTTAATTTTTTTTTCCATAATAAGTAGAGAAAAATTGCATCAGACCAAAAATGTTTTACAATAAATTTATTAAAGAATTAATGAACTTGATTTATATTTTATTTGTCAGGGCAGTGAATATATTATTAGGGAGTGTGTATTTTCTCACACCGGCTCAAAAATCTAATAATGTAATTGTGGGTCTGTGGGATAGGCTGATGAAATGGTTCACATCATAAACGTGCTTACAACACACCAGGACTTCAATTAACCTTTTGAACCAAATTGCTCTCTTTTGAGTAGGCCCACAGGCTTTAAAAAATCAACCGAAACAAATTAAAATTCATTGGCTAAACAGGCGAGCACACTCGCTTTAATGTAATTAACTCTGGACCGAAATTAAGTGAGGCTCGCGCACAACAGCTGCTTTACAGCAACTCGCTCCTCTCTGGAAGGGATGCTTTTAATTAATGGCTTCCTATTAGAAAGGTTTGATTATTATTTTATTGTGGCGTGGCAGCGCAGCTTTAACATGAGTTAGTTAATAATGTACAAGGCACAGAACGTGAAAAAGGCAGGCAGATGGAGAGGAGATTGCACGCGCCACAAAACGCACGCCCATCAATAATATGAAAGTTGGTGTGTAAGTGCACATCCATTTAGTAACATTCCGCATTATAATGCTGAGGTGCTGCTCATAATGAACAATTATGAATTAATTTTATAGCTCTCCCCAATAGACGGCCCACTTTCTTTTGTTCAAGGATAATTCAAAGCTTTTTTCGAATTCTTTTGTTTGTTACTAAATAATATCATTTTTATTTGGTTTTAATAAATCAGTGAAAATATAATACAATCTCTTTTGATGTCGGGTGTTGTAGCAGACATCTGCTAAATGTATACCCTTTCTTCTTTTTTTTCAATTTTAATTTTGTATTGACCGAGAAGAATAAATAATCATATCATAATTTTAATTAATTATTATTATTAATTCAAAATTTAAATTCGGAGCATAAAAATATGGCATTTATTTTATACATATGCGGCAGCTGGACATTCATTCCTAAATCGGTGTTTGCATTTCAGAAAGTCACGTACGCAATGCATGGCTTCTTCCTGAGTCTCTCCTTTTGTTAATAAATAAGAGCGCGCATAAGAATCAACAAAACAACTGGAGTGTAAAAGTTAGTTGCATCAGGGCAATTGAGCTGCAGTCGCCGCAGAAAAAGAGCCTCTGTGTATTTTATCGGAGTCAACCTATGCACAGTAGACGGATGCTTTTTTCTTGAGCGTTAGGAAACAACTCTATTCATTATGTAAGGCTTCAATTCTCAGCCGTCCGCGACTTTCTTTCATTTCCGAGCCGCCGCCGAGCGCGTCGCTTGCATGAGTACATTAACAATTCAAACCCAATTTTTTTGTGATGGTTCGCATCAGTGGCTATTGGTTTTGCATTATACCATTGGATTGCATAATTATGTATGCAATTATTTATAAAAATATAAAACTTTTAGAGGATTATTATTTTTATTTTTTCTTTAGATTCATCTAAAATACGGCATTTTAATATAATCTATTATTATTATAAAGAATTTAAAAAAAAAAATATTTAGAATAATAAAATTTTTACAATTCAAAACAATATCTTATTTTGTATACAGTAAATTTAATAAACTATAAACTACGTATACATTTTAAATTATTTTTCACGTCACAACCATGGGAAAGGAAACTTAAAAACTTTGGAACCCGTCATATGGATTCTACGGGCACTATCTTATCGCATTTTCGTTTTCCAGCTCACATACAGCAAAGGTGAACTTTTAGTAGTAAGGTATTTCTCCGGTGTTCATCAACATGCCAAGAATTTGGAGAGGTCCCTTAAAAGGTCATTTAAAATTTGCCATTTTTCTTGCTTGTTCTCTCTTTCTCTATTGGGTGTTAGTACCTAAACATTTTTTGACACAATTTAACGCAAGCAAAGTTAACAATGGTGCATCGCAAACGACAGACGCAGTGTGGAAGCCTGTGCTGGGAGCAAAGTAAAAAATAAAAATAAACTGGTTTTAATAATTTACTTCTGTTAATTTAGGAATATATTCATGGTATATTCAGCGTATTTGGAAAGCAGAGCTCTGGTTGATGAAATTGTGGAAATCAAAACACCTTTCATCAGGATAATTGGAGTTGGCAGATTGACCACGGTAAAACGTCGACTGACTATTGACGAAAAGGCTTACTGCTTGTATTGGTTTGATAAGAGCACGGCAGAAGAGTGAGAATGCGATTTATTTATTAAAACAAATAAAAGTTTAATTTTTTTTACTTTCATTAGGCCACTTGTTGTTGAAGCGGAGTTTGCTCCTCTCCTCGAAAATTGGAATTTGAATTTCTCTGCTTGCTATATTTTGTGTCCTTTGAATGGCTCTCCCAATATACCTACCAGCGTTTCTATTTATTCAAAAGAAGTCATTCAGCCATTTTTAATAAATGGCGATATAGAGCTCTTAGCTGATGCGGGAAACAAAATTCTAATTCACACACAGTCGGAAGACAAAAATTTGAAAAAGTCTGATATGGCAGTGTGCGTAAATCCATTTTACAAACAATACAGTAGAGTAAGTTAATGTGTAATTAATGTTCTCTCTGCTTAAAAAACATAAAACTGTAGGCGTGGGACCTGGTTGAATGGATAGAGATGAATAAAATTTTGGGATTCGGTCACTTCTACTTTTACAACCATACACTTTCGAACAATGTAAGCTGCACATTGGAAGAATATATGAAAGAAGGAACCGTTATTATGCACGATTGGAAAAATCTTCCATATATATTATTGAAGGGAGAAGGAAACAGAGTTGGAAACATTTTTGCAGCGGCTAACGATTGCCTTTACCGCTCAATGTATTATCATAAGTATGTTGGATTTTTCGACGTTGATGAATTTTTGGTACCAGCGAAAAACGCACACGTGTTGGAAATCATGGATACATCTTTCAAAAATGACCCAAAACAGGCCGTTTCAATTTTTAAAAACACGTTTTTCTTCTTGGAATGGCCCAACGATCCCAAATACAAGGGACTCGACTTAATAACTCAGAAAAAGACAAAAAGACTGAAAATTTTTGACAATCCCAGGGCAAGATCTAAATACATTACCAAGCCAACTCTAGTCACTGAAGTTGGAAGTCACTTTGTTTGGAGAACAACGGATAAACAATACGTTCAAAATGCTCTAAATGAGAGCGACGCTTACAGTCGCCACTACAGAATTTGCGAGTTTCCTGAACATGTGTGCAAATCCCATCCAACCGCTGCGATTGATCAAGGGATGTGGAGGTTCAAAATTCAACTCACTAAAAGAATGGAAGAAGCCCAAAAAAAATTCGGAGCTAAATGCAATTTAGCACCTATCAAAAAAATATAACTTAAATAAATTGGAGTAGGGTCTTCAAAACTGCATAAGTTTGATGAGTTTTTATGATTTATTTTTATCAACTCCACAAATTTAGATCAATTTTGCATTATTATATTATTATTATGTATGTATTTAAAACCAATTAAATGACGGAGCTGTGTTTCAATAGAAACTAATGCTTCTAGGTTTGCAACAAGAGGCGTGAAATTAAAATGCAAAACCATGGAAAGCGAAGTGCCGGTGCCGGCAGTAATTATTTCCGCCGCGTTGTCTCTGCACAAATGACTAATGAGGCTGAAATATTCGCAAGAGGCGATGTCCCGGACAAATGCTTAGCGAACCAACACACTATTATCAAAACGTTGCGCAAGAATTTGCATAACAGTATTATTAGCCGCCTTTAAATCGACAGGAGTTCACCGATTCTTTGTGTTGCATAATCAACGAGAGATTTATTTGACCCTTTGCCCGGATGTCCCTTTCTGCAGGAAGAAAGTTGCGCTGCTGGAGCGCGTGGAGAAAGTGATGACACTCCTGCACGGCTCTCTTTGCTTGAGATGCACTCTGACCACGGGACAATATTGCCTCGGATTGACATATCGACCTAAAAAAGGAGTGCGAAAACCTTGTTTAGAGGCGGCAGAGAATTTTTATTATGTTGGTCTGGATCGCCCAAGGAGCAGCACATTTCAGCTCGGTTCTATGACACGCCATCAAAATTGCCGACTTCCGTTTATGCTAATCAGTTAATCACCTATTTATACCTGAAACTTTTATGCAAAACCGTCGTTTTCTCCTTTTTGAATATAGCGGTTGCTTCATTTTATTGTCATAAAGACAACCGCATCCGTTGCTTTATATTCTTTAGGTGAAATAAATTTTGGAATACTTTCGAAAAATAGAGAACTTTTGTTTAAATATTCTTTTCATTCTATTTTGAGAAAATATATCAATTAAATCTTAAACAGATAAAACCTTTTTGATTGAAAATCTTTTGAAAAATTTCACATAAAAAAAAATAGTTACTTTACTCAGTGTCAAATTAATTAAGCTGTATAATACACCATTCCCTTCTCTCCGGAGCTTAATAGTGTATGGTCTAGATTATCAGACTTTGCAATTTGACCAAATGCAGTAGCAATAATAAAAGCAATAAATTTCCACATCAGCCAAGTAATTGAATTCCCCACTACACACTTTGACAAGCATGGGAAACGCTGCGCCTGGATATGGATCATTTGATAACGCTTGCATTATCGGCAGAATAAATTATCCTCAAACGTTATCTGGCGGCTGGCAGCAGCTCCTGCACAGATTGCGCCGCGAGATCGATCGACAATGCAACACAAATTCCGACACAGACACGCGCGCTTTTCCATTGCACAAGCGGCGCGATATTTTATACCTCTCGGTCATTCTTTGTCATTTTTCTTTTATTTATATAAATTTCTGCCGCTCATGCTAGCACAGCTGCCAACTCTCTAGCTCGATCTGCGGTTGGAAGGTGCTTGGCTTTTTAACGTGTTAATCGAGAGGAGAGAGCTTTATTATTTCATCTCTCTCCTGGATGCATGTGTAATTCTATTGCACCCGGAAAACACACGTAACTCCTTTGAATAAAAACTTACACTGTAAAGGACTATTGAATTACACTGGAGATAAAATAATGTTCGCAGGTTTTGTATTTATTGCCGGCTGGACGCATGTTTTTGCCGCTGGTGACACGATCGACCGTGTCTGTTTGATATAAATTATTATAATGAGCTAATATTGCCTCTTACGGCCATTGTAGCAATGACATAACTCCCTTGTTCGTATGCACGCAGATAAAAATAGAAAAATAGGCATATCGAATTTCTTCTCTCAAATCCTCGTTCACGTTTTCAAGAGTGTGTGATTGAGAAATGCAGTGGGTTGTTGTAATGAATAATTCCCCTCGGTGTTGAGGTCAAACGACGAGACAAAAGAAAATGTTCAATGCTGCACTTTGATTGGGACTCGCTCGTTTCATCAGCAAATTAATTCCCTTCACAGCAGCAAAGGTGCACACATTTTATTTTCAGCATTGGGTAATTTGAGCGGCATTGTTCCTTCCAGAGAAATCACGGCAGCCTCTAATGATGATGATGTTACATTGTTCCAGCCGAGATTTAGAAGCAAAGGCGCAGACTTCTCGACATATCGATTCCACATCGACGTGTTTATTGAAGCATCCGCGAGTAGAGAAACAATTTTAGGTGTTGAAAGAAGAATGACATTTTTATTGCCGCCTTGTATTTTATTAGTCCGCAGCACAACAAACACACACACATTACTCTTGACTCAATTAGCCAACAATGGGGTTTCGTTTGTTTTATGCATAAATCACGCTGCGGGTTGCCCTTATGCTCGAGAGAATCTATCGATTTGAACTCATTGACACGCATCGAACGGCTAGGCGCGATTTAAATCTCTGCTGCTGCCGAGGTAAACGCAAAAAAAAAAACAACCGGAGACGAGAGCATTGGAAACAGAACAGATGAAACCAATAAGATAAAATCACTCTGTTATTGCTTCATTTGCTGTTAAAAAGGGGAATGTTGCTTCCCTATCAAGGTTATGAATAATTTCAAAATGACACGCAAGAGAGCAACACAGCTAGGCAATCCTCCAAATCGTGTTGTGAGAAGCAAAGCAAATGCCAGAAAGTTATTGAATACTTTGTAATTATTATAGAAAACCCCGGTCACAACTCAATTTCACGATCAAGAGTTGATTATGGTGATTTGAACCTAAAAATCGGTTTTTCCTTGATGGATTTTGTGAGTTGTTTATGTTTTCTTTTTTTACAATAAATTATTCACAAAGTCCATGTTTAAATTCATATTACCGAGAAGAATAAATAATAATAATAATAATAATTACCTTGATTTTAAATCGTTTATATTCAATTAAGAGGTTGAAATTTATTTTGTACTGATTACAAATGAAAAGGCTGAAAAATTAAAAAATCCTAAAAAAATTAATTAATTTTTTTTATAACTACTAAAACAAACAGTGCTTCATATTTGATAATATTACAAATAAATTTTTGCCTTCTTGAATTGTGGTGAGAAAATAATTCAATAGCGTAAACTCTTTTTTTATGTCAATGATGGAGTACTGTCAAACTAATGGTGAAGGAAAAAACCAGTTCACCTGGTATGTGGATAAAAATGAGCTCGTTTTCATGTAATTAATGGTCTTCTATCAGCACAACAATATATAATCATTTCCCTGTCGTCTGACTGAGAGACGAGAGAAATTCCTAGCATTAAACTGATAAAAAAAAAATCATTCGCCTATATATTATTCAAGTGCGTATATTATGTGTATTTTTATTTATTTTGTACTTTCCCGGCCCGCGGCGTAGAACCGCGTGTATAAAAATGTCCATCCGGCTGACCAGTTGATCAAGTCTGTAATCCTCCACTTGGATTCACACATCCATCAATTAAACGACGCGAGACGTGTCTACGCAAGCGGCAGCTCCATTAATATCGTATTTGCATATACACATCTAGTTAGATCTGCACCATGATGACTTATGAGTGCATGACACTTTGCGTTAATGAGATGGAGAGCAAGAGAGAAAAATACTGCTTGTGTGATCAGCCAGGTTTTATTATAAATCGAGTGCAATATTCCCACAGATGTGTGTTTTGCAACGACCGAGCGCGCGTTTATTTTATTGCTCGCTGCAAATTAATTAATGAGCGGACTTTTATATAAAAGTGAGCCGATTTTCCGCTATCGTATTTCATAAAATACATTCCAGATGGTAATAAAAAGTGGAGAATTTGCGCGCTCCCTTGCTCGCAGACAATCACCAGAGCACCACCTGCAGCTCACTTAATTGATATCAGAGTTTTGCAATGATATCGATTACAATGGAACATTTATAATTATGGAGAAATAACAAGATTTTTTTAAATTAAAAGAATAATAATTATAATAAAGGAACTTAAAAAAGGATCAAAGTTTGTGCTGGACACCATAAGAAGTTGTAAGCCAAAAGCATTACTAGTGAGATTAATAATGGAGCCACTCATCGCGTTGATGACAAATTGTGTTTCGGAGCCCCGCGTAGATGCACGTTTCCCGTGTACAAGATTATTCACTTAGCGGCGTGTGGCCTTGACAGTTGAGGATAAAAACTTTCTTGGGTAATTAATCTCCCGTACAAAATAGATGTCGTGAGAAAGTAGAGCAGAGACGCGGTGATATAACAGCTCATCCTCTCCGTTCATGTTGTACGTATCTGTCACAACTCACGACGTCTCTCTCGGCGCGACACCAACAAAAAGTTTGCCAATTATTATCGTTTTGCAAGATATTCTCCCTCACGTCTCCATAATTTTCTCTTTCCTTTCAAAATATACACACACACTTTCGGCTGACATTTTGCAGATTAAATTGGAGCTCAGCGATTCAATTTTATGCGGCGCAAGACTATAGAAATTTTTATGCACGATTTCTGCGTGATTGCAAAGCACCTTTGTCTGCCCTTTGTCGGATTAAACAAAATGAGAAACTTTCCTTGCAACAGGTGGAGACTGCATAACCCTTCTAAAAGAGAGGAGTTATTCCAGTAGGTTATAAATTAAACCCTTGGCGTGTGTTGTTTTTAATGACCTTAGGGAGTCAACCTGGAAGTTCATAAATATAAGCGCCTTTTCGATTCGGCAAACGCATATGTGGCATTTTATGAGTTCTTTTGTCTATAGAAGACCTCCTTTCTTTCTTCAGTTCAATTCGCCTCCCACACCTTACAAACAACACCCATGAACCGCCGCGTGAATATAATTAATGGCTCGCGTCTTTCGCGTGGAAATATAATTTAAAGAAAGCTCTATCACTGGGCGAGATATGATCAAATGAGGAAGGTGTGCAAGTACTTTCGGCTTTCTTACATACGAACTTAAAAAGATCATGACTGATATATAGGCTGGTTGGAGAGGAGAAAAAATTGATCCGGTCCGCCGATTCGATTCACCGCACATATAAAGAAAAGAGAAAATGCACAACAGGACAACAAGTGAGCAATCTCTCCAAATTTTTTTTCTTTTTTGAAAATTGATTGATTAAAAAATTATTAATTACTCAATGAGTAGTCATTGAAAATTGAAAGAGATTAATTGAAAGCAAGCATAACTGTACAATTTAAATAATAATTTATAAGTATGGAAACATAATTATTATTGCTAATGAACACAATATCACACAAAACGAAACGTTTTTGGAGTGAAAAAAAAAGAATTTGGTTAACAGAACTTAATCAATAGTGCATTGCTAAAATAAAAATGAATATGGATTGCAATGAACTCAATTTTCTGAATAAAAAAAATTAATTTTTGCACAGAATTTCACAAGTATAGAGAATATACAAAAATCAATTTCATATTCGAAACTATTTAATGCTGAGGAGAAAGTTAAATTCATATTTTTATTATATTTTTTACGCATGTATATTGTTGAATGCAGAGTGCGTGTTATGGGTGGAGGAATGCATAGAATGATCGATGTACCGTATATATACAATCGAGGAAGTGTTCACGCTTTGAGGTTGATTAACCACCCACGAAACGTGCAAATTTTACGTAACTATGATAGCGGTATACTTGAATTAAAAAGTAGTGGTACCTGCGATCGTGTGAGAGGACTGTGCCAACATTTCCTCAGAAAAAGTAAATATTCCATTTCAAAAGCCTTTTTATGCCAAGCCACGCGAATCGCAGCGATATAAAGTCGTATGAATGTAACATGTGTGACCTCTGAGAAAAGCGGTGTGCCGAATTCCACGCCCGTTTCACCCACATCTCACTGATGGTGAGCATTGCTG